CTCAGGTCTGTAAATCGGCATGTTTCCATTATTCTCCTTGAGCCGTTTCGATACGTTGTCGTTTTTCCCTCTTATTTTCCCGCAGTGTGTGTGTGAGGTGTGCTACTATGTTTCTGCTTGAAATTTGTGTCCCTCTTCTCTCTAGGAGTACGCAGTTCGTGATGGCAATGATTGGTTTTTCTGTGGTATCTGTTCCGTTGTCAAATGCAAGTTGTTGTCTAGAACTTTTACATTGCATAAAATTGCATTTGAAGTGATGGTGAACCCTTACTCTATAGACAGAGATGTGCTGAATCTGTATGATGGCTTTGAGAAAAACAAAATTGAACTTGGTGCAGGAGATTTTTCTTTCCTTGTCAAATTTTTTATATATTTTGCTTATGGATGATGCTGGATGGCAAGACAGAAATCCCTCTTGTAGGAAATTTTTCCTTCCTATTATTATGCTTTTAAAGGCAACCTGACAGTTGGATTATATGACTGGAAAGTGACAGGTAATCCATGAGTTGTGAAAGACGAGAATGTCACCAATTTTGTGGGAAGTTCTGCTATAGAAATGACAGGAATGGCAACAGTATTGGATGCATTTAGCTGTTGTTACAGTGTTTTTTCATCCTGCTTGGTACTTTAGTCTTTTTTGTCATTCCTGATCTTTCTTTCATTTACAAGTGATAGTGTAGAAGGTGTAAAAAATGAATAGAGCTGTTTCTCTTTCTCTATGCTTTTTACAGAAAGAGAGGATACTTTTTATTTTTTAAATTGTCCTCACTTTTTTCATTCGTATTTACATCCGTTTTTCAAAGATTGACCCGTGAGATCGAGAAAACTTTTATCAAATGTCAAAGGGAGCTGCCAAAATAGCGATTTACGTACTTGAATCAAGTCCATTTGTACACTTATCCTTGGTCGCCATTATTTAGGGCATGCAGCTCTTCTAATATTCTACAGTATTTTGTTGAAAATACGTCTTGCCAACAAGAGTAACGAAGAATTAGATTAATATCTTAATTACAAGCGTAAATTCCTTGCACTTTGGGTTTTGAGAAAATGAAAGCCTTTTCTTGTCGCTGCAGAACGACTTCCTAAATGTGTGTATTAACTTAGATTATTCTGGCAAGATTCACTGCAGATACTTTCTGATTCCGGGTTAGTTGCAGTTCAATCAGCGAAAAGTGCTCCAGGGACCTGTAGTCTGAAATCGGAGGGTTGGAGATTATAATCTTTGAGTATCCAGGGGCTCTCTTCCTGTCCTCTGTTCCCATCAATGTCTTATAGGGACACATCCCAGAGCCCTGGCAGGTGCCTGAGCAATCAAACTTCACCTCATTTCTAAGGGGCTGTGTTAGACCCCGCTTTCTTCCGCCTTTAAACGCCTCTTCTTAGTCAATCATAATGCAGTAGTTAATTTAGACCGTCTTCTGTATGAATTGAAATCTTTAAGCAAAGTTCCTGCCAGTGGGTTAATGAGCCTGGTATCTCCGCTAGTCCTGTGGACAGAGTTGTGTGTTTGATCATCACGTTTTGAATTTCTGAGCCTCTTTTGTTTTGCTGTTGTCCTGCCACTCATTCAAGCAGGACGGCTTCACCTCGTGTTTTTAGACTAATAGGAAAGAACTAAGAGTTTCCATCACGATATAATCGGACAAAATATTTTACTTTATCGCCGGTAGCAAATGATATTTTTCTGTGAGCTAGAAACCCACGATCACGAGACACCTCTGCTTTCCTCACGGTCGTGATGTGTTCGAGCCTAAAAGAAGAGAGCTGGAGAAAAGCAGGAGGTGTCTGCGGCAATGTCTCCTTCCCGCCGAGCCGCCCGTGGGCAAGGCAGGATCACAGCGCTCGGTGCTGCAGTGCCGGGAGGAGGCTGCGGGCGCCGCTGTTGACCGAGAGGAGCGAGAGGAAGCTCGGAGCGCTGCAGCCCCGCCCGCTGCGGTCAGACTCGATCGCTCGTTCCCTGTCAGAGTGAGCGGCGGGCGGTCTGCGAGAGTCCCCGCGGTGCGGAGCCGTGCTACAACGAGAAGGAAGGACCGGTGCCAGAAGACGGGAGAGCTGAGCTGGGGCCTGAGGTGAAGGAGGCGAATCGGCAGTCGAAGACGGGGAATAGCCGGCCGGGGCGCAGCGGAGCGGCGGAGATGTGCGCGGCGGGGAGGCGCTGGGGCCGGAGGCAGCGAGCTCTGCTCTGGGCCGTCCTGCTGGCGGCGTGGGAGGCAGCGTGGGGGCAGCTGCGCTACTCGGTGCCCGAGGAGATGCCAAAGGGCTCGTTCGTGGGCGACGTGGCCAAAGACCTGGGGCTGCAGCTGCCGGCGCTCCGAGACCGCGGATTTCATATCTTGGACAAAGGTAGGACGCAGTATTTCGCTCTACATGGGAAAACGGGACATTTAGTGACGGCGGAGAGGATCGACAGAGAGCAGCTGTGCGAGAATGTGCAGCAATGCGTGCTGCGCTGTGAGCTGATAGTGGAAGGGGAGATGCAGGTGTACGGAATCCAAGTGGAAATCACGGACATTAACGACAACGCGCCCAACTTCAGAGACTCAGAAACAGAGTTGAGAATGAGCGAGATGACAACTCCGGGATCGCGGTTTCCTCTGCCAGACGCTCACGACCCGGACTCGGGCC